TAGTCCACTATATAGCCCGATAATCCAGGCTAGTACTAAACAACACAAAGCAATGCTCCTGACACTCTCTTCAGTGCTGGAATTTGCCACTGTGCCTGACTCCTTTTTCCCCCCATGTTTTTTCTCTTCTATTGTACCAAAAAAAAAAAAAAATTACTTTTAAAGTCAGAATGAGGCCAGGCGGTGGAGGCGCACACCTTTAATCCCAGCACTCGGGAGGCAGAGGCAGGCGGATCTCTGTGAGTTCGAGGCCAGCCTGGTCTACAAGAGCTAGTTCCAGGACAGCCAGGACTGTTGTACAGAGAAACTGAGTCTCAAAATACACAAAAAAAAGTTCTCCAGAATGTGAGCAGACATTTTGGTACTCTCTTATTATGCTATCCCAAGAACTTAAAAGTGTTTAATACATTAAACAGTGAAAAAGACATTGTTTTAAATCCACACGTGATTAAACTAACCTCCTAATGAAGTACTATTGGATTGGGATGATTTTTCTTTTTCCTCACAGAGGTAGGTTTGTTGCAACTGAATTTTCTTATCTCTGTCAGAAGTGAAGACTTTCTTATGTTCACACTGTGGTGGTCCCAACATGCTAGTGCTGCTTGATGCTTGTTCTTTGTCATGCTGTATTTTTTCTTTCATTCTTTGAAAGATTTTTCTTGGTGTTTCATAGTTCATTTCATTTCTTAATCCATCCACGTTGCACTTTATAACACTGATATCAGGATAGCTGTTTGAAAGGGTAGCCTCTGTTAGCATGGTGGAGTGACATTTCTTTTTATTGTTAGAAGCTGCCATTTCTAATAACTGATTCTTGTTATGACCATTCAGTTTTAGAGAGGACCTCCGATATTTCTCCAATTCTTTTACAGGAGTAAGTGTGTTTGAAGGAATGTTGTCAATAAAGACGGCGTCTTCAGGCATATTTCTTCTTTGAGATTTCCCAGAAGACAAATGAATTCCTGAATGGTCCAAATATGTTACATTCATCTTGATAAGGCAGTGGCAACAAAATTCTTCTTATAGAAAAGTCAACGAATACAAATTTCCAGGCAGAACTTCAACAGGAGTCCAGAGAAACCTGTAATAAAATCAACTTTTTATATTGTCTGGTAATTCTTAAATACACAGATTTTCTGTAACAAAATTATACCATTAAAAAAGTTTAATTGGTTCTTATCAACACTGGATAATTTATAACTCACAAATCAGACTAATTGTTAATGTTTTTATTAAATTACAATTTTCATCATTTTTTCAAGAGAAAAGCAGTTTAGCATTTAAAACTGCCTACTTACAAAAAAAAAAAAAGGAAAAAAAGGCACCATTCAACAAGTAACTTAGTTAATATCCCTAAGTTCTGACTTATAAATATCAAATATCTGTTTTTGAAATTTACCTGACAGCTATGGGACTGTGTTCCTTTAAGGGATTTTAGAGCCACCCAGGAACAGGTTCCCTGTCCATTTTTTATTCTGATGCTAGAAAACAAACTCAGGACCTTGAGCATGCTCTACCAGCATTCTACTGCAGCAGTGAAATGCATTCAAACACTGAGTCTTTAAGATTCCAATCCAGTATTTGCATAAAAAGGGAATGACATTTGCATTAGGGACTACATAAAGATACAAAAAATAAATTAACTAGCCAGGCAGCAGTGGTGGTGGTGGCCTGCAGCAGTGGCAGGCAGATCTTTGTGAGTTCAAGGCCAACCTGGTCCATAAGAGCTAGTTCCTGGAGAGGCTCCAAAGTTACAAAGAAACCTTGTCTCCAAAAACAAAACAAAACAAAACAAAACAAAAAAAAAACAAAAAAAGTTAACTAATACTTCCCTTTATGCACTTTACAATTTTCAGGCAGCAGCTACAATGCTCCTAACGAATACTGATAGACCCATGTCATATAAATAATCTGGCTCTATCATATTTTAGAATATTTCAATTGTAAGATTTTAGTTAAAAACTTTTAATAAAGGAAGAATTTTAATTAATCATAATTCTTTAAATGTACTACTATTTAGAATTCTTAGAAAAATTATTTATTTAAATATTTATGGTCTTAAACTTGTTTTTTCTTTCTTTTTTGCAACACATTCTTGCTTTATAGTCCAGGCTGGCACCAATCTTGAGTTCTCCCTGCCCTTGCTATCTTGGTGCAGGAATTACAAGCACTTATTACCACACCTGGCTTTCTTCTTACATGGAAATTGTATGTTCCATAAATAGAAATAAAAATTCCAAGTGTAGAACTATGCATTGTGGTAATACTTGGAAAATTAATATTTCAATCCTAGGTACCTGGAACTTACTAGTCAAGATTTATAGCATCTCTTACTACTGAATTTATTCTATTAACTTTTTACATCATCTAAATGGCAAAGAGCTATCATGGGAAATACCAATACATATGAGGCATGGTGGTGCATACACCATATCCTAGCACTCAGGAGGCTCAAACAAAACAGAAACTTCAAGGCCAGCCTGGGCTATGAAACCTTGTCTCAAAAAATAATTACTAAAGCAATTAGATCAAAGGATATCATTCTTTTTCTCAAAAAGTGATAAAGCAACTTGAAAATTCATATACCAAAAAATCCCACTTTATCTAACAATTTATTATAAGGAGAGAATAGAGAAGTATTTTTTTTTCTTTATTTTCTTCCCGTTTTTGTTGTTTTTGAGGGAGTGTTTCTCTGCGTGTCTGGGACTTGTTCTGTAGAAATAGCTAGCCTCAAACTCAGATTCTGCCTTCTAGGGTTTGGGACTAAAGGTCTGCACCACCACACCCTGCTAGTCAAAGTATTTTCAACAGCTGACAAATCTATCTTGTAAGTCTGGCCCTGTGACAGAAAAGCCGTTATAATATTCTCACAAATGTTTGCTCAACAACTATGTGTTAATATGCTTTATTCATTAATGTATCTATTTTAGCATTGCTAGAGATTGAAACGAGGGCCTCAGGCATGCTAGGCATATAAGCACGGAGCTACAGCCCTAGAGGGGCTAGTAAAATCCACTAGCAATACCCGTGAAAAGACACTCTCAGAAAGAAAAACGAATAGACTGTAAAGTGGCAGGGGAAACTGGCAGAGTCTGGTCAAGGTGACCTAACCTCATCATCTGCCTGCTGAATGGAACGGCCTCAAATAAAAATTGCAAGTAAGCTAAAAAAACAAAACAAAACAAAACAAACAAACAAACAAAAAAAAAACCAAGACCAATCGATACCAACAGAAAGACATTTCCAGGACGGATAAAAGTTGGCCTAAAACACAGGCCCAAAGTCCTAGCTAAATATTTACACAGCAGAAGGATCTTAAGTCCCAGGCCTCAAAGGGGGTTACAGAGTCAGGTCAACAACAGACCCTAAACTTTTCAAAAAAAAAAAAAAAAAAAAAAAAAAAGGTAAAACAGGAGGCTACAGGGCAGTGACAGACGCTAGCAGCCTGCCTGGCTGGAGGGCGCTAGGTTCAAACACTTAACCTGCAGTAACAATAAGCAAACCACAAGTCAAGGTGACAGTAAGCTGATTTGTGCACCTTGAAATAGTGGTGGCAAAAAGAAAACGCCACCCGGAAGTTCAGAAGCAGGTCCAGGACAGGGCAGATATGCTAATGGTCCCCAAGATGCTACTGACCTGCTAGTGAGTCAACCCCAAGCTCGAGCCCTAAGAGAGCTAGCTCCAGCGCACACTTCCCCACCAGAAGAGTTTCCCCAGTAGACCCCTGCAATAGCATTTCTGCCCAAACTGTTGCCCGCTTGAGATGTCGGTTTAATTTTTATATTAGCACGATATCAAAAGAAATGTTTGTGTGGATAAAACGAGCGTATTCGAAAGACAAATCTTGTGGGGACTTCCTAATTGGCAGGGCCGTGCTCTCCCCGTGACAGCTCATTTATAAAACGCAATTCAATGTACCGAACAACAAAAACGACTTTAAATTTTTCCAGCATTAAAAGGACTTATAGCCACGTTTTAAAGAAAAAAAAAACGAAGGCATGCGCTTAGGAGAATAAGCACTTAAGAAATCCGTAAAATAACAACAACAACAAAAAAATAGGTCGACCCTGAAAACACACACACAGGTAACATTACAGGGACTCGGCAGGTTACGTCTAGGGATATAAACGTATATACATATATGTATGCAACTGTGACTGGCGAGAAAGGAACCACTTAATTTCAAGGAGAGTAGGGAGGTGCGCAAAGGAGAGTTTTCGGGGAGAAAGGGGAAACGAGAGATGCAATTAAATTAAAACCTCAAAAATACAAACAAGCGGGGCGGTGGCTGCGCACGCTTTTAATCCCAGGCAGAGGCAGGCGGGTCTTTGAGTTCAAGATCAGGCTGGTCCACAGAGCGACGGCCAGCGGTACAGAGAAACCCCGTCCTGAAACAGCAAACCCGAAACAAAACAACGACAACCAGTGCACCTGACCGGCGGCAGTCCTATCGTTTAAGGGCAGGACGAGGGGCTTCCCTTCCTCAGTTTTTCTCACATCTACGCCTGCAGCAAGCACGGAATTTAAGGCTAAGTCAGCAGCACAAGCGGCCCGCAGACGACGAGACGGCTTCCCGGCTACTCCTGCGTTTCGAACCCACGTCCACAGCAGCGAGGGCGGCGCCCGGCTGTGCGAACCCTGCGTGATCGTGGCCTCGGCGGGGGCGGGGAGGGGACGGCGGGGACCTAGCCGACCTACCTGGGCGAAGGCAGCAGCACCAGGCCGTGGCGACCACTCGGCCCCGAGCCCAGGGAGGAAGCCCCGGCAGGGGCGACACGCGTGACCGAAGGGACACGGACGCGTGCGAGCTGCGCGGCCCTGCGGGGCTCGCTTCCGCGGCACAGACAGCAGCAGCGCTGGAATTCAAATCCGAGAGCCCGCCCCCCGGCGTCCGGGATTGGCGCGCTCGGGAGTGACGTCAGCGAGCGTCTTCCGTGCCTCCAGGATCACGAGGCGCACGCCGGTGTCGCCGGGACTGGGCGGTGTGAGCGGACGGCGAGTGGCCCGGGCAGTGCCGGGTGACACGTGCGGTTTGTTTCTCTCCACAGAGGGAGGCCGCCCAGGAGCGCCTCGCCACTCCTCCCGTGATGCTCTGCGTGGGAAAGGCCGGCGACAGTTGACGCCCGGGGTTCTCTCAGAACGGCGGAGTTGACTAAGTTTGACCCTTCCCGGCCACACTCGTGAGGCTCGGGCTGGGCTCGCCGAGAGGAGCTTTCCTTCTCCCTCAAGTCCGCTTCTGAGGAGAAAAGATGCTTAGTGATTTTGAAGGAGTTTCTCTTTCAATTCACCATCTAGGTTTTGTTGTTTTTCCCCCAGAAAAAAAAAATTGTTCCCCGGAAGTAGACTGAACATAAAGTTATGTTTGCATTTTAGCGTTTAATTTGAATTATCCCAGCTGGAAATGTAATTCTCTTTCAAAGAATCTAAGCACCGTGGTGGAATAAAACACTTTTCTCAGTGGACGTCGGTGGCAGTACCTTTCGTGGCCCGGGTCCCTAAAGTGTCTTACCAGTTGGAAGCCTGTTCCCCCAACGCTGGAAGGCTGAGGCAGGAGGATGAAGAATTGGAGGGCAGCCTACAATAGGCAGCGTTTCACTGTCCTAATTTGGGGAGGACAAGGGGGAGCAGGAACACAGGGGTAAGCCGGGACTATAAGGTAGCTCTGTTCCCAGTGGCTTATTCGATTTTTTTGAAGATTTTTTTTTTCTGTATGAATTCCTGCATATAGGTATGCGTACCAAGTGCCCATGGAAGTCAGAAAAAAGTGTTGACTGCCCTGGAACTGGAGTTACAGATGGCTGTGAACCACCAGGTCAGTGCTAGAAACTGGACTCAAGTCCTGCAGGAGCAGTCGGTGCTCTTAACCAGTGAACCAGTTTTCCAGCCAGAATGTTTTTTCTTACCTTCTGTCTGATTTTGGAACTTATGGCTGAGAGTCAGACTCTGCCCCTGAACAGTGCCCTAGGGCACTGGTTCTCAACCTGCCTGATGCTAAGACCCTTGAACATAGTTTCTCATATAATGGTGACTTCCAACCATAAAATTATTTTCCTTGCTACTTCTTAACTGTAATTTTGCTATCTGTGTTGCCTGATGGTCTTAGGTCACCCCTGTGAAAGGGTCATCTGGCCCTAGAGTTCACGGTCCACAGGTTGAGAACCGCTGCCCTAGAAGTTGGTGGAAAGAATAGGACCTTAAACAAGGTCCTAGACAGCCAGTTCTTAAGCCTGTGTCCTTGTTATTTTAATATTACTATCTGCATGAGGGGCTGGAAATGGCCCAGGCGCCCTCTTCTGGCCTGCAGGGATACATGCAGGCAGAACACTGTGTAAGTAACAAATAAATAAATCTTAAAAAAACAAACAAACAAAGGCACCTGCCTGTGAAAGGAATAGTGACTCTGTCTGCAGACTCCATAGCAAAGAGCAGCCACTGCTTCTCAGCTGCCAGAGGCTTTCCTCAGGCTCCAGGATGAGGGGCTCCTTTGCTCTTCAAGCTTTCCGAACTCAAACGGCATGACCTTTTTCCTTCTTTCCTCCCTCTTTCTCTGGGCGACTGCTGAGATTTACAATTTGCTTACCCTGAAGTGTCTTTCTTTTAAAGCCTAATAAAAATTGTCCTTGAAAGATTATATTATTTCCCACCTCCCTTCCTCTCCTCCAAACCTTCCCTTATACCTCCCCTTCCTTGCTCCCTTAGAAGTGGCCTCCTTTCCCATTAATTGTTATTACAAGTATACATGTTTGTATGTGTGTGAAGAGTCCAAGAATAAGAAAATAAGTGTAGGGGGCTGGAGAGAAGGCTCAGTGGTTAAGAGCATTGCCTGCTCTTCCAAAGGTCCTGAGTTCAATTCCCTGTAACCACATGGTGGCTGACAACCATCTATAATGAGATCTAGCGCCCTCTTCTGGCGTGTGGGCATACATGAAGGCAGGATGTTGTTTATATAATAAATCTTTAAAAAAAAAAAAAAAAAAGAAGTGTAGATTCCAGAAGTAAAAATGTAGAAACAAAGAAATGTAAAGTTCTAAGTCTAGGAGAATGAGAACAGACTGTCAGCAGCTTTCTCAGCAGATCAAGGGTCAGTCATTCACAGTGAGCCGTTTTCTTGGATGCTTGGGAAGCCTCCATCAGCTTTTAGGTCTTTTCATTTTACAACTGGTTGTTTTATTTACAAGGCCAGAGCTTCTCCCTGCAAATTGAGAGTGGTGTCCTGGCCAACCCTGATAAACGACAGGTGTGAACTGAGTTAACCTTTAGGAGACAGAGATATGTGACCACAGGCTTAGGCACTGTCTCTGTTATGGAAAACTGGCACCACCAAAGGGGAGGCATGGGGCGCCAGTATACACTGCCTGGAGGAACCAGGACAGACAGTGGACAAAGGCACAGACACCATCTAAGGAATGAGCTCCAACAATGGAGGTTGTAAAGTATGGCAGTCAGTATCTCAGTTTTACCTTAAGATAGTGTGAAAAGCTTTCTGCTGTCTTCTAAATTCTCAGCCTAAGAACAAATTAATTCTAATTTATTAGTCTTCTAGTATTACTAGAAGTCCCTTTTCTGACTGTTGCTAAAGACATCTGTTTTCTTGCAATTAGTGACTTTTGCTGTAATCTACTCTGAAATGTATTTTATGATAGCTGCCTAGTTACCCATTGACATTAAAACTCACTCCCCTCCTTAGGGTCAGGGTAAGATCGTAAACATTCCTTTGATCATACCTAATGCTTGGTGCCCTAACTATAAAAGATGGGTTCAGAAACCGGCCATTTGCCACAGCCTGACAAATACCATCTCTGGCTGTGGTCTCAGCTAGCTTTGTCTCCTTGTGCTTTGTGATAGTACTTTTAGGAGCATGGCTAGAGTAAGTAGAGTAAGGGATACCTGGATAATTGGTAAAATATGATCTATGAGAAGGCCCTTTAAAACTCAGTTTACCTTTTTCCTTCAGAACTGGGAATTGAACTTAGGCATTGTATAGGCTAGGAGTGCTCTGTCCCTGAGTCCACTCTTACCCTCTTAACACAAACAAACAAAACTTTATTTTGGAACATTATCTCTCTAAATTCCACAGACTGACCTTCAACTTGCAAGCCATCACCCTCACACCAAGAGGAGTTGTTTGATTGAGAGACCCAGTAAAGGAGACTCATGCTTATTCAGTGGAGGTGGGGACTAAGCAATTGGTTGAAGGGCCAAAGGGAACGAAAGAACAGAGTGGAGGAAAGATGGACATTCATTTCCTCCTCCATTCCTGTAGCTAAGACAGACACCCTTGCCTGTCTTGGAACAACAGAATCCAAATTCTCTGACTTCTGCACACAAGTACTGATAGAAGTACTTCCCAGTCCTCGGGTTTGCAGCTTCAGAGAAGTTACACACTGGGTTTCCTGGTTGTGAGGTCTTTGGCTTTCTAGAAGCCTACTATGGGAGCTTCACAACCTTAATGGTTGAATGGACCAGTTAAAATTCCCCTAATAATCCTTCTCCCATCATTATTCTACCTACCTACCTACCATCTATCTATTCAGTTGGTTAATTTTCCTAGAGACATTCACTAATACGGATGTTGGTGCTAGGAGTAACTCTAGAGAAATGGAATCTTAATGATGACATTTCTTTATTGTTTTGTGGTTCCCAGAATGGGTTTCACAACAACCTTTGACTTAAAAAATGCTAACAGCTCTGCTTTGAAAGGTCCAGATAGTATTGATAGTGTATGGCCTGGGCTGTTTACAGAGATACATGAATTATCTGCTCTGTCTAATAGCTTAAGAGTCTCAGTATTCAGGAAGGGAAGCTAAAGAAACAAAAGGCTTGACAAGAAGCTTCGATTATCTTGTTTCGGGGATCTTCTGTAGTACAAGAAAAAAACATATATATTTAGTGTCTCTTTCTTCTCTTAAAAGGGACACCAGTGTAGTCAAATTAGGGCTCTACCCTTATGGTTCCATTTATCCTTAATTGCCATATTAAAGATTCTGTTTATAAATACAGTCACATGTGGGTACTGTAGAAAAAGATGATTCTAAATCAAGGTATCTGCCTGTAGTATTTTGTTACATAGTCCCAGTAATACAGGGCTTCTACATATGAGCTGTAAATGGGAGATGGACATAGCTCAGTTCTCGGACTGCCTGAGACCTAACAGCTGGAAAGTAAGGCTCCAGGAGATTCTCTTGTCTTGTCCTCTCATCTTGCCATTAGAGTGCCGAGACTGCAGATGCTAACCACATTAAGCTTTGAAGCTGGGTTCCACCGGTTGAACTTAGGTTGCCGGGTCTGTACAGCCCTCACTTGTACTCACTGAGCCATTTCTCCTGCCTGACCCTGACTTCATGATCCCCCTGTCATACCTTTTGGATGCTGGGGTCCCCATCTCTGGCTGCTTTCTTAATGACTGCCATTTTGATCAGATTGTTACAGAATCTCAGGGCAGTAGTTCTGATTTGCATTTGTGTGTTTGTTCTTTTTCCTGCTCCTACGATAAATACCATGGCAAAAGTCACTTAAGGGAGAAAGGGCTCATTTTAGCTTACAGTTCAAGGGAAGTTCATCATGGTCAGGAAAGCATAGCATTTTACAGGTCCATTGACAGTAGTGTGTCTGAATGTCTCTGTGATTGTTAACATTAGTGTCAACTTGACAAAGTTCAGAGTCACCTGGGAAGGGAGTCTCAATGAGGAATTGCCTAGATTGGGTTGGCCTATGGGAATGTGTTGAATTAGGAGCAGCGGCAGGGCTGCGTCCCCGGCACCCGGCCGCCCGCATGGCTAGCTTATGCCCGAAATAATTACATGGAAACTGTATTCTTTCAAACATTGTCTGGCCCGGCTAGGTCCAGTTTCTTATTGGCTAGCTCTTACATATTGTTCTAACCCATTTCTAATATTCTGTGTAGCCCATGAGCTGGCTTACCAGAGAGGATCTTAACCTGCATCTGTCTGGAGTGGGAGCATCATGGCGACTCACTCACTCAGCTTCTTTTTCCCAGCATTCTCCTCTGTCTACTCCGCCTACCTAATTTTCTGTCCTATGAGGGC